CCAATTATTCCATCCCAATCTACAAAAGTTGGGAATTCCTGGGCTGCCCTTCAAAGGAGGATGGTTTGGGCAGAAGCAGATTGGTCCCAGCTCAATCTCTGGTTTGAATGAGCTGCCAGAAACTTCTCCCAACACCTGTCAGGTGAGGAAGGATCCCTGAATTCCAAGGGTTTTGTGCTTGGGTGTCTCAGGTGCAGTGTGAGAGCTCCCAAACCCAGAAGTGATGGTGGGAACTCATAAAATTCCCACTTAGAGAGGGCTCCAAGGGTAGATCCTCTTTGGAATACCCCACATTGGATCATACTCTTCTAAAGTGGATTTTCCAGTTCAGGATGGGAGTCCTGGGCAACACCTGGGATCAGGAAGGGGTTTTCTATCCTAGGAAAAGGAAATTAATTCTCCTGTGAGCATCTGGGTGAGCTGCAGGATTTGCAAACACAGGTGGGCTGGCAAGAAACCTCCAGCAAAACCAGTCAGTCCTTCCTGGAAGTGGGAATGAGTTTGATCTGAAAAAAATCTGTAATATTTATTAGAGGTGTGCCAAGAGGTTTGGTGAGTACCCCCACCTGGGGCTGAAGGCAAACCTCTCTGTTTTCAGGGATCTGCTGTCAGGATTCCTCCAGCTTATTTGGGATGTTCCCTGGCACAATGCACTGAAAACTTTAATTTATTTTTGATGTGGAAGTGAGGACATTCTTAAATCTGGATTTCTGTGGGAGAGGAGAAGCTGCTGGGTTTTGTGATCCCACGAGCTGAAGTTGTTTCCCTTTAAGGACTTTTCTAACTCAATGTCAGCTCTCACAAAAAGCATGATAGGAGTGAATAAAAAAGAAGAAACCCCCTTAGACAAACAGCCCTTAATTTACACCTGCACTGGGGGGGATCTGCCCTGGGCTGAGTTTAGCAGAATATTTCAGAGCTGCTGGGACAGCCCTGGCTCCCAGCACAGGAGGGTTCCCAGCTCTGCACGGCTGCTTTGGGTGTCCTGAGCACCTCTGGAAAACCCTCTGTGTGCAGGGGGGTTTGGGTCTGTGCCTGAGGAGACCCCTGGAAGGTGTAGGAGGGAATAAGGCTCTGGAATGGGGATCCTGAGGGATCTGCACATCTCCCACCAGCCGTGCTGAGCCCGGGGCTCATCCCCCTGTTGCCCTGGGTGCTCCTGGTGCCTTTGCACCCCTGAGGGACACAAATCCAGCAATCCAGCTCCTCCTGGGGTGTTTGCTCTGCACTGCTAATGAGCTCACACCCCACACTCCTGCCTTTCTTTTTTTTTTTTCCATTTTTCCCCCCTGGCTCTGTCCTGTGTGCCACAAACAGCCAGGAGCAGCGGGTGACCTGCCCTGCCGGCAGAAGTGTCGGGAGGGCAAAGGTTGGGGTTTGTTTGTTGACTCAGGGCTGTGGTTGCTGTGCAGAACCCCCTCCTTGGCAGCCCTGCCCTTCCTCGGGGAGGAGGTTTGTGCCTCCAGGGTGCCCCATTCCCCTGGGATCCCGAGGGGATGGGGATGGGGGTGCCCACAGCGGGTGGATGGGCCTGGAGAGGCTCCTGGTGCGTTCCTGCAGCCTGTGCTGACAAAGCTGCATGAACAGCCACTTTGGAGCTGCTTGAAAATGCACAAAATGCCTTCTTTAAAGTGCTGGAAGGCCAGGGGTGGGCTAGATTTGGTTCTCCACGTGCTCAGGGCCTTTAGGGTGCTTCTCCCCCCGTGCTGGATGGGATGCTCTGTTGTTGTGCCACTCTCGGGGAGTGAGGGGACCAGGGGATTTCAGCCCTGCCTGGGGTTCCCCTTTCTGCTGCTTTTCCATCCTTGAATATTTTTGTTGGAGAGGTGAACTGACCTTGCTGGCTTCTTCCTGTACCACAGGAACAGAAGAGAGGAAAGCACAGGCTCTGGGATGAGGCTTGGGGACAGGCAGAGGGTTTGAGGGCTGGGAGCCCCTTCCCTGCTGAGGAGGGAGTGTGTGTATCAGCAGGACTGGGGTGCACAAGGATTTTGGGGTGGCTCCAGGTGCAGAATGAAGCTCTGTCACTCGGGTTTTTGGACACAGAGCCTTGCAGGGTCCCCTTTTTGCCATCCCTGCTCAGATCCAGCAGAGAGGAGTGCTCCATCCAAAGGGAGGGGCTGCTGGAGGTGCCACCACCCCTTCCACTGCCTCCTGTTGACTTTGGCCACCTCTCCTGCCTCCTCGGGGACATTCTGCCAGGGGAGGCCTCTGCTGAGCACACACTGTGGTTTCTGCAAACCCCTGGTGCCTTGAGAGGCTGCCCTGGAGCAGAGGCTGGGCAGAGTTACAGAATAATGCAGGGATTTATTAAAAGGATCTCCTCCATGGATCCACCTTGGACAGCCAGGGCTGCACCCAGAGTGAACCAAAATGGTCCCAAAATGCATGATCAGTCACGGGGTGTCTCTCTGTGATCAGCTCTGCTCCATTTGCATCTTGGAGTTCATTGTCCAATTCCAGCTTTAGCCCATGCAGCCCCATCCCTCTTGTTTTTCCCTCTTCCATTCACCATTTGTTGGAATGCATGAAGTAGAAGCCTCTGAGTCCCTCAGAGAGAGAAAAGAACGCAGGGTTTGCATTAGAACCCCTGGAGAAGCTGAAATATATTAAGCCACACAGACATGAAGTAGAAGTGTAAGTTTTAGTTTTAAGTAAATAGAAATATATCTTGAGTGCCTTAAGAGACTGTGCTAGCTAGTAAAAGGCCCTAAAGCCTAGTTTAACTTAGCTCCAGACATAACAAAAACATAGCAGAACACTGCTTGGGTTTCTAGATGGAATAGATAGAACTATTTGTGTAAATAGATAAAATTATACATGCAGATTTTAGGTAAGAACACAGATGGTACCATTTACACAAATAGATAAAATTATATATGTAAGACTTTGTGTGAGAACTGACACTACTTTCGTACATTAGAATTAAGTTCAGATTGGTGTAGAAAGAATGTTTTAGAATCGTGTTTTTAGCTGATTGGATGATTTATGAATAAAAAGCTCCTGTAATGGGGTGCAGATGATGAAGAAGAAGAAAAAGAGATAGTGGCTGCTGCTTTTGCTGCTTCTGCTCAAAACATCAGGACTCTGTGCCAGAAAGCTTTTAGCATGGACTTTAATAATTACTCTGAACTCCTTGCATTCGTGCAATAAACAACTTTACTGCAACCAACAACTGCTCCTGTCTCTTTGAAGACCCAAGCCCCACAACAACAACCCTTGTTTGTATTTTTGGGCCTGCAGCTTGTAACAGTTGTCCTTGGTCAGGCTGGAAAAGGATTGTTTTGTCTGCCTGCCCTGTGAAGGGAACTTGGTAACACCTAATATGAACCTCAGAGCTACCCCTAAAGCAGCACAGAATGTGAAAAATATAAAAGTTAAAGCCTGAGGCATCACCTGTTTCCTCATCTGACTTGACTCACTATGGCTGAAGTAGGAAATGGAGTTTTTGGCCCCTGAGCTGTGTTTTTGGGGGAAGACACCCAGCTTTTGGCTCATGTGCAGCACAGTTCTGCAGAGCAGAGCCAAACCCTGATGAAGTCACTGGGGCTGTGTTGTTCTCGTGGTCTGTGGCTCAGAATGAGTCGAGTTTGAGAAACAATGGCAGGGGCCTCCAGCTCTTTGGTGGTGGGGGAGAGCTGCCTTTTATCCACCACAGTAACGTGGAATTTGTGTGTTCAGGGATGTGCCATTGCATGGGACGCAGGGAGGCAAAAACTTCTCATGTGGGGTTCTTTTTTAAAACAGTTGCAAAGTGTTTCTGTGTTGGAAAACATCCCCTCACACCAGGAGAGGGTCTGAGACCACTGCTGGGGCCTCATCACCCCAAAGCTGATCCCTTCCAGGCCCTTCTGGATCAGTCTGTCCTGCAGCAGGTGAGCAGAGCCTGGCTGGAGGAGGAGCTCACCGGGAGCTTCGTCAGGGAGCTTCAATCCATGCCCTGAGCCCGGCCAGGGGAGTCTGAGAGATCAGGAGTGATGGAATATCAGGAGTGATGGAACAGCAGGAGTGATGGAACATGGGCTGGGGAGCGGCTGGAAGGAGCAGCACGCGCAAGGGAGGGGTGGAAGCGCTGGATGGGGATGGGGAGGGGGCACAGGTGGTGATTTCCAGACGGGCAGCAGGGCTGGAGGAGAGGGAGGGGAGCAGCTGCAGGAGCAGCCAGGCTCGGCGTGGCAGCACGGAACGCCAGCATCACCCGCAGGGGACAGGCGGGGGGACCTCCCCCGTGCCGGGCACATCCCCGAGGGACCGAACGCCATCGAATCCCCCGGGCGATGATGGTCCAGCGGGAATCCCTTCCCGGGAACCCCGGCGGGGATGCCCCGGGGGTGCCGCCTCCCCATCCCCGCTGCCCCCGCCCGGAGCATCCCCCGCGGGGCGTGCGGAGCCCCCAGCCCGCGGGGAAGGAAGGACGAGCCCCGTCCGGCTGCGGCTTCCTCCGCAAGCCCTGCCTCGGTGCACGGTGCCCGCCCCCGGCCCTCCCCCGGCTCTCCCCGCTCCGAGCGCCCCGAGCCGGCCGGGCCGAGCCGAGCCGAGCCGCGCCGCCTCCGGGGGAGCCCCCTGAGCGCAACAGTTGCCCCCAAGCCTCGGACACCGCCCCCCGCGCCCGGGGGACCCCCGGGGGACCCCTCGGCACCGGGAGGAGGCTGCGCGGAGGAGCCGCCGCCGCTTCGCCGAGGCAGCGCCCGGAGCTGCCCGGAGCTGCCCGGATCCGGCGGCTCTGCCTCTGCCGGCGATGGAGCGGAGCGGAGGGGCCGAGCCGCGGCTCCTCCCGGCCGGGAGCAGCCGCCCCATCCTCCGCCTGCGGGAGCGGAGCCGCCCCGCCGCCGGGCAGCGACCCCTCTGCTGAGCCCCCCCGGCATCCTCGGAACCTCCCGCGCATCCCACCCCTTTGTGCATCCCCCAGACCCCTTTGTGCATCCCCCAGACCCCTTTGTGCTGTGCCCCCCCCAGCCTCGCCGCCCCCTTGCATGCGGCCCCCGGGCTGCGGGAGCCGCTGGCCATGGGCACGAAGCAGACCAAGGGCTGCCAGCCGGGCAGCGCCGGGGAGAGCCCCCCGGGCCACCACCGCAAGAAGGTGGCCCCCAGGGAAAGGGGGGATTTCCTGGCTTCCCTCGTGGCCAAGTCGGGCGAGAAGTTCGGGAAGGGCGCCGGCGCCAGCTTGCCCCCGTACCACCGGCGGATCTGCATGATCCAGGACATGCTGCTGCTGGTCAAGCAGGGCAGGCAGGAGGAGGCCACCGAGCTGCTGAAGAACCTGCGGCAGGTGAGGATGGGCGGCTTTCCCCGCGGGAAGGGGGCAAAGAGCTGAGCAGCAACTCGCGGCGCTGCTTTCGGGTGGCAAACGGGGGCCACGCTCCGCTTCTGCGGCTCTGACTCCCGGGGCGCAATTTTGGGGAAGTGGCTGAGGAGCTGCAGGGTGCTCAGGGTGTCACAGAGGGGGAAATAGCCCCAGGATTGCTCTGCCTTGTCTGCAGCGAGCAAACGCTGCCGGGTGTATTTTCCCCCTTCCCTTTCTTGCTGGCGCTGGTGGCTCTGGGGTTTGCAGCCTGCTCAGAGTGGTTCCCACTCAACTTTCCAAAAGTTTGGTGTTTCAAGCAGCTCCGTAAAAGCGCCGAGGCAATTGGAGCTGGCAGCTTTTGAGAATCGGCTCTTTTCTTGCTGGCTTAGAAATACCCAGAGCTGGCAGCGTTGCTTTTTTATCTTTTTGGCGCACAATCGCCTGGTGGAGTGCTGCTGGTGTTGACTGAGGCTGGGAGGAACGAGAAGCTCTGGGGAAGCGGGGAATTAATTGAGGGAGCCCGAGACCTTTTGCCTTGAAAAATCTGTTTGAGCTGGGCATTAGCTGGGACGCAACAGGACGGAAAGTTGCTGTGAGCAAACAGAAAAGCAAATTAGCATTTAATCTTTTCTGCTGATAGGTGCTGATAAAAACACCCGAGTGCTCTGGGCGTTTTCAAGGCTCTGGGGTGCGCAGGGCTTTGAGGAGCAGCGAGTTTTCCATGCAAACCTAAAGCAGATCCATCTTCCAGCTCGGGTTTGTTTTCTCCCTGGGCTGCTCGGTGTAACCAGTTCTGCCACCCAGGGAAAAGTTGTGCAGATCTCTGCTGGGCATGGGAGCTGCTTTCCATAGTCTGTCCATGGGACTGGTCCAGTCTGGTTTTCTTTTGGGATTTTGGGATTGGGGTTTGCTGCTAGCGTGTTTTTTTTTTGTTTGTTTGTTTGTTTGTTTTTTTTTTCCTGATAGCATTTCCTCCCCCCATTTTCTGGTCCAGGTAACTTTTCAGCCAGTGGATGTGTTGTTTGGGGCATGTCCCCATTCAGCCCACTTCCATTTCTCCCTCTGCCCTGCAGGTTTAGGATTATCTTTAGAGCAGCCCAGCTGGGAAATCTGAACTGTGTCATATGATTTCTGGTTTGTTTGGGTTTTTTTTTGTGGAAAACTATCCCCACTTTCAACTTTGGGATAAAATACTTTTCCTGAGATGAGTGTGCTGCCTGTCTGGGAGTTGGGGGTGGGATTCCCTGGGACAGTGACCTCTCCATTTGGGATCTGTGGGACCGTGGGGGTTGAGTTGGGCAGCAGATCAGAGCCCAAATGTTGCACCCTCTCAGCCATGCCAAATCTTTATCGTTGTCGCAGCCCATTGGAGCTGGCAGAAGGGCAGGTGCTAATTTTAGAGGGTGTTTATCTCAAACACCTCCCCAAAAAATAAATCTTGGGGCCTGCAAAGTGCCAGGAATCACTCTCACGTTCTCCCTGGCTCCAGACTGGTTTTTCTCGGCGATGCTCAGCTCTGTCCTCACTCTCTGTGCAGAGTGAGGGAGCTGGGCACCATGGACGCCCTAATGACAAACCTGACCACAGGGAACCCTCTCACCTCGCTGGAGACTGGGAAGAAAAAGCTAAAAATTAATCTTAAACTGCTGGGGGAAGCAAGGAACCTGTTACAGTCAGGTGCATCTCTGGCAGTGAGTGTCTCTGAAGATCTCGCTCTGATAAAATATATCTTAGACTGTCAAAATAGAGAACTCTTTGTCCTAGATACTATAATAGACTCCAAGCAGGTTTTTAATGAGGTGATATTAATCCCTGCCTCCAGGGAGGGAATGTGGGATGCCCCACTGAACAAATCCTGGTTGCTCTGGGCTTTTCCAGCAGCTGGATTTGGGAGGAAATGTTTTAGGAGGGCATTGGTGGCTCCAAGGCACCACTTGGGTTGTTCCCACTCCGGCAGGAGCCTTCCAGAGCTGAGCCCTTGGAATGTCTCAGCCTGAAAGGGAGGATTTGGGGAGAAGGACGAGCTTCCCCCTGTGGAAAGGGGTGGATGGATGAGCCTGGTGGGGCAGAGACTTTTCCCTGAGCCATTTTTAGGGTGTCCCACGCAGAGGGACTGTGCTCCACGTATGTGCTGCTGTAAAACTCAATGTTTTCCAGCAAAACTGGGGTTTTCCCAGCAAACCCAGTGACCTGGTGCCCAGCTCTCAGCAGAGATTTTTTTAAATCCCAGGCATTTAGGTCACTGGGAGCCTTTCCACTGACTTAGCTGGCTTTGAAGCCAGCCCAGCGTGCTGCTGAGGGGTGGGTGACAGCATCCCTGCCTTTGGAGAGGCTCCACAGGTTTTTTTGGACCAGGATGAACACATGGCCAGAGCTGAAAATCTTTGTTTTTCAGGTCTCTGTGCCATAACACCCTCTTCAAGACAAGGTTTGGGGGGCTTTTTTTGCTCCCACAAAAGCTGTGTTTGATAAGCAGGGCAGGGCTGCAATGCTGTATTTTAAACCTGCTGGAGCAAGTCCTGCCCTTCCAGTCCCACCACTGGCACCAATGTCCACTGTGGCCTTTTTATTCCACCCATTTACTTAGAATTTATTTAGAATTTATCCAACCTTCTCCCTCCCCTGAGGTGGGAGCTATGCTGTTTTCCTTACAGGCTCCTGTAAGGATTGTGTTTCTGGGATTGCCTGGAGGTTTCAAACAACTATAAAATATTGAGATATAAAGTGATTTTTTTTGTTGTTTAAAAGTATAAAAAGCATGAAGAGCAGACAGACTTTGCTTCCTCAGAGAGGTCAGCAGTGGTCTCTGCTGTGGAGGCAATTTGATCCCACTGCCTGCCCCCAAAATAACACTCCTGTTATTCCTGCTGCCAGCAGCCATTCCAAAGGGTTTGTGCTCCTCTGGCACAGCCAGGCTAATTTAACATCGAGCTCCTGAGACACAGAATACTCATTTCTTTTTCCTTCTTTCTGCTCTGGAGCCCAAACCCCACACTGCAAAATTCAAATCCCCCAGATCCCAACAAGTGCCTGCTGCTCTCCGTGGCCAAGGTGTTTTCCCTCACGGTGCTGCAGGGAGGATGCCTTTGGCATAAATGCAGTGGAAAGACACTGAAATAATTAACATTTGCTTTAGGCTGGTGTTGGGGTTTGCCAGAGGCTTGCTAGTCACCCAGAGGGAGCTGCTGGAAGTAATTCCTGCACGGAATAACTTGGAATTCATCTGCCATGAAGTGACTTCCCAGGTTTACCTGGCAGCATCTTCTCTGCTTTCCAACAAGGAGCTGCTGCAGGGAGAGGCTAAAAAAATTAATTTATTCAGGGTGTCCAGCACTTGGGACATGGGAACCCACTCTCAGACCCCTCACTCCATCCAGGTGGGAGAATTCCAGCTCCACTCTTCCCAGTACCACCAGCTGCAGAGCAGGATAGGTTTTAACCTTACAGAGCATGGCACTTTTTATTTTTACTCTTTTATTTTCTCCCCCATACTCTTTGAGTTTCAGTGGTTAAGGCAGCCAAGCGCTGTCAGTATATTAAATTCTGGGAGTGTCTCTCCTGCTGGGGAGAGGATTTGTAAAACAAAGCATGTTTTCCTCCTCCCTGCTGCCAGAGGATCGCTTTTCCCAAGCGAGAAGGGGAAGCGCTTCCCAGCACATTACGTTGCGCTCAAGGAATTTGCCATTGGTTATGGCTGGACGTGGAGCTTTTGCTGCTGTTCTGGGGCTGGGGGAGAGGGGAGGAGGAGGAGGAGGAGGAATCCAGCAGATCTGAGCATCATCTGCACGGGGCAGGTGAGCAGCAGTTCCAGGAATTCAGTGGGGAAAGGGGGCAGAGAAAGCAGAGCGTGGCAGTAAATGCCTGGGTGTGGCCAGAAGCCAAATGCCAAGGTCCAAGGTGTGGCACCACTTGCAAGGTGGATTCTGTGCCGTGCCAGCCTGGGGTGGGCAGTGCCGGGGTGTGGAGGGCAGGGGAGAGGCCCCAAATGGGCAAAAACACCACAAAAAAATCCCATTTGCAGGAAGGGGCTGGGAGCAAACGTGCTCTGTGCCCACCAAACATTGCAGCCCCTGTGGCAGCCCCTCCTGGCTGTGGTCCAGCCTGGGATCCCTGGGGTTTATCCCATAAAACCTTGAGGTTTATCCCACAAAACCCCGAGGTTTGTCCCACAAACATCCCCTGCTGTGGGTGCAGCTGTGCCCCTGCCCCATCCCAGGGGGATTTTCCAGCCAGAGGTTGTGGGGAACAAGACATGACCTGAGCAGCCTAGAAACTGTGTGGCACAGGGATGTTTAATTAATTAATTAATGATGAATATTTTCATTGTAAGAGGGGCTTGACCTGTGGGGATAGTAAAACACAAAAAAAAAAAAAAAATTAAAAATACTGATGGAGACAGCTCACTTTGGGCTCCTGTGACTTCCTCCTTGAGACACAAGAGCAGAGAAAAAAATTGAAATATTTGTGGCTGGACTCAGTGCTTGCCCCTGGCCCTGTGCACCCCAGCCATGGGGCAGCATTCCCATGGAAGCCATCCCAGGAATGCTGGAGGAGCTCAGCACTGCTGTGTTTGCCCCACAAATGAACGCCTGCTCCCTTCTCCTGCGTGCTCAGAGCAGCTGATGCACCAAAGGTGACCCAGCCTGGGGTCTCTGGGCTCCTCCCAGCCTGGGGCTGCCAGCAGAGGACAGGGATGAGGAATTTTGCAGGATTGGGGTTGTTTTTCCTCAATTGGGAGCTGCTGGGGCCAAGGGAGGGCCCTGCCCTGGCTGCAGCGGGGCCCCAGGGTGGAAGTTGGGTAACCCTGCTCTGAGTGGGGTGGCTTTGGGATGAGCCCTCATTTCCTCTGCCTCAAGCTGCTGCTGAAACCCCACCAGGGCTCCCCACAATGCTTTTTAACCCTTAGGCTGCTGGAGGCACTGACAACAAATATCTCTGATATTTGGGGTGTTTCCTGCCCCAAAAAGGGTTTCTGGTGTTCCCAA